CACATCTTGTTGATACAGGGATCCATATGGATGAATCGATCGTCTACCTGCTGATTGCTATTAATAACAAACACTGAAGCCGGCAGCGTTGAAATTGAGACCCTCGGATTGTAAATATGAGTAGTGACTCATTTCGAGCTGCTGCCATTGCACATGCTGCCAGTTAACGAAGGTTCCACTCTGTTGCATAGTTGACTACACCACCATACACAAAAAATAGTACTGGAAGTGCTTCCTAAAATAAATCCGGAGATGGTCAAAAAGACCGAACCCAATATCCCCGCTGATGCATCCAGCAGATCTGGGGTGGGACTTTCGTTGAAATTCCACTGCACAGGGACGGCCGCGTGTTCCCTGTTTGTATTAGCGATGACGTATTCCTTGGCTGATCTGTAAGCTGCGCTTCGTCGGCAAGAATCGGGCAGTCGACTTTGGATTTCGGTGGAGTGAAGATCAGTGTGATTAAAGCGATTAACATCATCTGGATCTTGTTGATGCTGCAGTGCATTTACGACAAGCAGTGGGTACCTGGGCGGAAATTATAAGCTGGTATTCCTTGTGTGTTAGTCAGCGACTCAGCTGCATTGTCTGCATCCGGGGAAGTCGACAATCCAGCCGATCTCCAGGTTCTTCTCTGTCGGCCACATTCAGGTTGGTCATATTTTACGCTATAGGTCATAGATATGGTTAGCAAAGCCAATAACGGTCACAGTACGCTTCCAGCTGGAGACGGCACACTGACGCACTCCCTCTGCGAGATTTAATAACATTCGTTATCCTTGTAGCTATTACCATGGCCAGCTACTCCTTGTCCTTACATATTTTGATTTTCCTCCTGATGCGCTACCGAGCAGCAGATGTTTCGGGAGGACCCAGCGCCACTCGTGCCATGGACGACGGCAGTTGGATCAGGATTCTCGTGATGGATGGGCTGCTCATCCTGGCCACCATCAAGGCAACCGTTGATCTGGGGTACAAGATTGCCAATAGGATTCGTTATGGGCCTTATGGTGTTCCACCAGCAGTCCCTACCGGCCACCCAATGGCGATGCCGCTGGGCATTTAATCTGTACGTACCAGAGCTGGGCAGTTAGTCTTTCCGTCATTTATCGCTTTACGCGATTTGTTATCACTCAACAAGCTAGAACAATCCTGACGCGTAACTCGTTAACCAAACAACTTAGCTCAAATAAAACGTACCGATACTCCGGATTTTTTCCATGTATTTTTGGTGCTTCGCGTGCACGTGTTCATGTACTGACCATCGGTCACTGATCTCGCGTTTTCTAATTTTAGTACGTTTTCATAATAAAAACCTATTGATGATCTGCGCAGTTTATTGAGTTGAACTTTCATCAGCGAAGTATTTTACTAATATTAATGATACTAATACCGACCCAAATACAAGGAAAATCGGCGTATTTTATATGATAGCCCCAATTTCCGGTATAACTCACGCTTTGGTTTATTTGTAAAAGTATGGCGTATCGCACGCTCCAAGTAACTTCACTGCATCTTTTTAACTGCCCAGTTCTGGTACGATGTACGCTTGCGTCTACCTACCACTTTGACCAAAGAAACATCTTTCGCTAACCGGACCATGAAGCGGAATAACAGTCGTGTCTGCATAAAAGAGTCGCCAATTGAATGACAAATCACTGTTTGTTTTTACATTAGCGATGCTGTATTTATGTCATTTGCAACGTGACCTTTACAAGACGTTGGTTGACAGCAGTGTGTTCGCATTGACCTGGGTACACCGTACGACGTGGCTGATTAGTGTTTTAATTTTGTCAAGAAGCGCTTGCTGCCGAATTTCGGCTCCTATTTGATAAAAAGAATTGCTATTTCGTGGATTTCAGTAATGCAAAGTACTCATGTTTTTCGCCTTTATCACCTTTATAACAACTAATTTGTAGTAGACGTACAGATGCATTATGCACATAGCTACACAGTACACGCCTTTGAAAATATTATGTGAAGAGCTCCGTTACTCGTCACGATCGGCATGTTTTTTTTGAATAGTGATTGCTGAAAATCACAGAAAAGCTGTCCTTAGTTTTCGATATAAAACATCGCCCGCTTCATGGATGTTCGCAGCACTGTACGTGGCTACACGTTAAGACGAATATGCCAAACAGAGCAGTCACGTTGTCAATACGTGTCAATACACACGTCTTTCACCGTCGCAAATAGCAGCTCCAGGTCCTACTCTATTTTTTGATGAAGTAAGTAAAGTGCATGACTGCAATAATAGACAGATTTTCCCAGTCAGTTCCGTATGCCTTCCCTTATGCCTAAGGTAAGAAATACGGTAAAGTAGCGTTTGCATATTTCGCACCACATGTGGCGCTTTCCGTAACAGTATGGCTGGGCAACGCCAGTATAAGTACTACTGCCGGCATTGACTATGTGAATATGGCTGCATCGTTAAACAAAGGTAAAAGATTTTTCACGATCAGTGGAAAGACCGAAACTTTCTGCCTTAACCTTTTTCTGAAAAAGAAAGTTTATATCGTAATACAGTATCTAGACAAGGGCACCATTTATAATCGTCAGTGGTGTACGGTACACCGACACGAGTTGCTGTCCTGTGGACAATCCGGCTTTCAGTTTTCCAACATACGTTGAGTACTGCGGAAAAGTGGCACGCCCTGACAATTTCAACACACACAGTACCATCCCTCCACACAGCAGTAAAATAATTAAGTGTACCGGCAGAATCCTTGGCAAGTGCACCGGCAAAATCAGTCTTCCTCTTTTTCAAAGTGCTCGTTATCGATCCAAAATGCAGCACGGTGGAAAATTTGATGTGGGAATTAATCGGCGTGCAGCGGCTTCTGGTTACTCATAAACTTTACCATGTTTGCCCGCTTCTGTACAATTCCCGAACATAGGCAGTAGTACTCTGCGGTGGCCAAAGAACACTCACGCAGCGCATCCCGGATGAGTCAACAGATAGCATTATATTCTCCAGGTTGGGCCGTTCAACAGAATGCGTTCACGGACGGGATTTAGGTGCATGGATTGCTTTCATATGAATCAATCGATCGTGGACAGAATATACCTGGTAGTTGGCCTTGGCCTTGCTGATGTGCAGATACGTTGTGATGCCGTTATCCTACGTTTATATATCATTTGATATCAAGGCCAAGAAATTTGCTTCCGCCGGTTCGCTGTAACTGATATGGTAGCACCTTTTTGCACATTTCCCGAATAAAGGCACCTCCCTGAACGGTAGGAGGCAGCATTAGGGATGGGAAAAGTGCATTCCCCCATCACGATCTAATTTACTGGAGTCACGTATGCATGATGCGGGTAATCTGATATATACCCGGAGGCTGCTAACAATCCACCCGATACAGCACTGTGAAGCGCTTGATCAAATATAACGCAAAAAGTTTCTTGGGCTGGCCTTTCACCGGATCCAGTCTTGGCCTTTATTTCCATCCGGCTTTCTTTGATTTCTAGCACAGTGTGATTTCTTGTCGTACTTGTTAGAAGCCGTTGCCGGCAGATCGGCCTACAATCCAGTAAACAGACTGACTCTCTGAGTCTGAGCCACCATCTGTAGACTGTAGCTACATACATCGAAGCAACTTTCCCTTACTCTGTATAAGGGAAAATTACCTCCATGGTTTGAATATGGTTTGTACTTTACCCTTCCCTGTAATTACAGGGAATACTACGGTACAGACCATATTCAAGCCGTCCAGTCTTATCTGGATGTCCTGAACATGGTTGTGGCCCTGATCGGTACTGCCGACCTTGCCCGGATCGGATTCGGCGTGGTTACCCGTCACGACGCGCAAAGTGAAGATACCCTCCTACAGGAGGACGGTAACTATACTTTCCGCTTCGTAACGCGAGCCCTCCGGCCCGGCCACCATCTGCCGCCGATATCCACCCGCGGAAGAAGCACATTTTCCCACTTTCCGGATGGCCCAATGGAGAGTCCAATTCGGAATAACTGAACCATGTTATTCTTATCCGGCGCTTAAAATTTACCGCGCTGGTTGTGCAAAACCAGCGCGTTTAATTTTAAGCACCAGATAAAACTTATTTCCCGTTACCCTGTGTGGATAATGTGTAGCTGGTGCCCGTTTTATCTGTCGACCACCCGTTAGATGCTGAATCAAGCTGTTGATGTGAAAGCGTTTTGTTTTCTAGTTGTTGGTTCTAAAATGTTCTTATTGCTGCGTACGGTGTATTAATGCCGGCTGAGTGAGGATAACATTATTATTACTTGCTGGTGTCCCGTGCCCCGTAGCCATGCGCTTACGACTCCATAACCCGAACGTATCGACTGTGTTGGGGTTTCTGCTTATAACAACAAACTCTCTCCAACTGAATCCAGAATCGGCACGGAAACTGTATCATCCGCAGCTGTGCTGCAGATCCGGAGAAAGCCGGAGAAAGCATGGAAAAACCGTGCCCATAACTGCCGGTATTCTCTACGGTACGTGACGTCCGTGAACTTTGAAGAGAATCGGTCTAGGGTCTTAGTGCATCTGTTTATTTTACCCATAAGTCATAACTATACAGCCAAATGTTGCGTACACGGTACATGAACGGTTTTCAGGATACATAAACGTATCAAACCATGTACTGTACGATGTTATAAAATATTAGTGCAAAAAATATTTTGTGAGGTCACAAAAGCGAGGTTTCCGTGCATGTACAGTACTGATGTACATGCACGAATTTTGTGCCATGTATCGGGACGCTTTCCCTAAAGGTCCGACTCAAGATAATTACCTGCGGACGTAAATTTCTGAGCTTAATATTGGGCTGTGGTGCTACTTTAAACATTAGAAGGATACAATAGTACAGAAATTATGTATTTGCAATACAGTATCGAGTTCGACACGTCTTCGTCTTTCCAAAATAATATTATAATATGTAAACGGCACATGGAAAAGAACGGTTGCTATGGTTCAATACACCGTCACCAAACTTTTCCTGTCGCATTTATGTAGGCATAATAAGCGTCACGACGAACTGATAATCAACCTACCTGAGCACTGGCAAGACACTGAATGGTAACGCTAACGATTCAGACAATTGTCAAGTATTTCTGTAACGAAGTACTTCAGTAAGTACATATCGAGAGGATGCCAACGGTTTCAGATGCAATTGTACTGGATGTTTCTGCTCTTCACTGCCGGGAGAGGATGCACGGTTTCGCGAGAGCTAACCCAAAGTAAGTCGCATGGAAAACTTCTTTTCAAAGCAGTTACGAGCATAACTTCATAGCAATTAATTGCAGTTCAGCTGCTGCCAGCCCGTGTACAAGCTGCCGAAGACGACATGAAAGACGGCGTGATTACGCTGCCTGTTGTCGAGGCAAGGGCGCCCCAAACTCCACTCCCCGCTGACGTGGTACAAGCACCCATTGGAACCATGGCTAAATTTTTCTGCCAACCACCTAATAAAGCTGTCGAGCGTCTTGTGTGGAAGCATCAAAACGTCACCGTGTACGCCAATAATACCCCACTGGTGGCCACCAGCAAATCGGGTAACGTCGCATACGGTAACGTAAAATCCTCCGGTGATATGCACCTACTTATTCTCAACGTGACCCGCGAAAGTGCCGGCAAAGTTGAATGCTGGCAGTACTGCAGTCATGGACTGTGCTTGATCAAAAAGTACGACCTGGAACCGGTGATGACAAAAGCGAAGGACTTGTTTATTGGGGCATTTATGAACCTTACGGCGCCGTATGGCAAGTTCGCCTTTACGTGTACAGCGCGCTTTTATTGCGATTATCCGGGAACCGGCGCGTTTTTCATCTGGAAACTACGGGACAGTTTCGTCGTGAGTCTCAAGAAACATTACTTAAGGGACATGACGAACTGGCCGATGCCAGATGTCGCTAATGTCGACGTTTCTTCTAATACATCACCGCGTGACCACAAAGAGCCCTTCTGCGAAACAACGCTTCGTGTAACCATGGTGGAGGGACGTGGCCATCCGCCGCTGCGTGTACAGTGCTGGGTCCGGACGGATCGCAACACGGAGAAATATTTCGTGCAATCGGCATATGTTCACTTCCGCTGACAAGCCGAAGCTTTGGGACGCGTTCCTAGATTCTGTGGCATGGATGCAGGGTTCTTGGTTGTTGTCTAATTGCTGTTTGTTGTTGTTTTACGGTTGCTGGAAGTGCGGGATACAACACAACGCGGTTCAGTGCTTCGTTTTCGTGTCACGGTTGTTTTATTCGTCCGTCTCTTGTAGTCCTGCATCAGCTGTGTTATTCTGAGCATGTTCTAAACATTGGCAGACATCGTAGGCTTATCAGAACTTTGCAAACCTGTTCTGATGTCTGCAGCGAAGCAGCTGTGTTAATTTAAAGCATAAAAAATCAAAGGAAGAAACTTAATAATTGCAGTTTGTCAGAACCAGCGTATTTTGAGTACCTTACAATTCACGATGACCTTTAACTGGTACGGGACACTGGACAGTACAGTTGTATGCAGTCTCCTCGATAATGCAGTACACAGCGTTGCCATAACGGTGGGAGTTTTACTTGCATAAATGTCTAGTTATTGGAGTTAAAGGTTTCTGCATTAGCGTTGTATACGCGTTAACGGCTCTGCAATTCTTTGTGCTATTACTAACTAAGAAAACCTGAAGACCATAAAAGCTAAGTATCCATATGGTGTATGTTAATTCGGTGGAAAAACGCGACAGCTACATTCGTCGTATTTACTCAGTATATGAAAATAAAGATACCGGTAAGTTTATGTTGACAAACTAATTGAAATTCAGAAAACGCCAACGATATAAACGCGCGTTTACTACAGTCCAACTACCGGTACATAAGCTCAGTAACACAACAGCAGCGCAGGCGCGCAAATTGGTTACGCATTGATGCATAATGCGTGTAGCCTGCGGCTACGTTCTTTAAGCCCACGGTTTTGCTACACACACCGCGCGTCTGCAATAGCTGAACATTTTCTTTTCCGCGCTGCGGCCGAATCTCGCGTGTGAGGGTGAGGCATACCTTGTGAATTACACAGTCCGTCCGTCCTTCCTCAATTCACAGCGCGCACATATACAATAAAACACCTACATTCATTTACAAATTTCCACCCAAATTCAACCGCCGCTATGTGACCGCTTCGCGAGTCGGACAACATCCGGGAGTACATCGCGCGATTTATTTTTATTTTCTTGGATTAATCAGCGTCCGCTCGATAGTAAGGAAATTATCTCCTTAACCTGTATTTTGCGGGATTTATTCGGGAATTATTATTTCGCATCGATGGAGCGGAATATTCTTCTGGGAATTGTGTTCCTGATATTTTGTGATGTATGTTCCTGTCTTTCCAATGCCGTGATCAGTCCCGCAGGTTAGTTGTCATATTTTCTGTCGGAAGCAGTTAGCAGCGTTGTGTAACACGTCTGTCTAAAAAAGGCATATTTTTCTCTATGCTTCTGTCGACAGCTGAGTCATGCATGACCACTTATGCGAGAGCGCCACAGCAATTAAAGTGCAGCTCTTTTATGATGGTGAATACACTGTATGTTGCTCTAGTTGTACAAGTTCAATGCACCAATCGCGTGGTGTCCGTAACGCTGAAGACCGAGGGGGAATTCAACGGGGTACTATATGTGGGACTGCACAATAAGGAATGCCGGATGCTGGGGAAAGGACAGAAGAAGCTGGAGTTCTCGTTGCCGGTTAAGCAGTGCGGCATTGTTACCGTTAAATCACCGGTAAAAAACTCGCGGTTTCGGAAAAAAATAATTGCCTATCTGCAGATGCTTTTTAGCTCTCCTAATCGATCGAAAATTGCTCCAGCAATTACATTACTAGAAACAAAAAATGCAATCATGCTAAAAAAAATAAAAAGTGATACGGCAGATATATTACCCGTATCACCAAATTAAGTTCCCGAAATTTTTTAATGTTTAAATTTTAACTTTCATGTAGTCCACCGGCGCTTGCAATCATTGTTACCTTGGCGGCTATTGCCCATTAAACTTAAGTTCCCGAAAAGTTTATATTCGCTAAATTGATTCTGCATAGTTTGTAAAACTAGTACATCAGTCATTCATAATTTTTTAATATATAAAATTCTTCGTAATAAGTTAACAGGAGGAATAATTAATAACAATTGAATTTCCTTATAAATATCATGTTAATAATTCTTCTTAAGTATTTTCGAAATGAATTTTTTTCGCCCGACTTCAAATTTTTTTTTCGGCATGAATATGGTTGGTTCACAGATTCCAGAAATAAGTTTTTTTTGTAGAAGGGTTATTACTGTTTTATAAAAAATTAAAGAGCAGAATAATTCCTGTTTTTTTCGTGGATCTTGTCACAAGTTTGTTGTGTCGTGTAATAATTTGTTATGCATCTTTGTAGACGGATGCCAACAAAGTAGTCCACAAAGTGCAGATCTACGTGCAGCATCATCCCATGCTGCAGATGGAGAAAGACCAGCGGTCCATTGAGGAGTGCGTCGCCGCGTCGGATCCGTCAGCGGTGGGCGAGGGCTTCATCAGCGACGCGGCCAACACCGTGGAAGTCATTGCTCCGGCCTGGATGGAGATTGTGCGCGGTGCACAGGCCGACGGGCCGAAAATCCGCGGACCAGTCGTGCTGGGCGAGACCATCAGTGTACTGACTAAAGTCAATGCCAAACGTGAGTGACTACAGGAAAAAATAATTTCGGCCGTTCCGAACTTAATTATATTTTCTAAGTTCGGTTCTTTTCTTAATGTTTGATACTAATGATTAAATAATTTTTCAATGAAGCTGGTAATGCATTAATAGAGAACGGAATCGTTAGAAAATTTTATTAGTACTTATGTAATTTTTGCAGCCGGCTTTCTGTTGGCTGGGTCGCATTTGAGCGCTCGAGAATATTACTTATGCTTTATCGTGCCTTTCGGGCAAATGTTCAGTGTCTGCGACAGAAGTTCATATTAGCTGTCACGAACGATTAATAAAACAAATTAGTCCTAAACGATTTTCCATTCCACTCACACTTCTCAGACATGCTCGTTTAATTAAAGCCGTTTAAATACTTTTACAGAAGGACAAGACGCTTTAGTTACGCACTGCTTAGCCAGCGACGGGACATCGTCGGATCCGGAATTGCTGATTGGTGACGATGGGTGCGTTTAAGAAGAGATTAATTTCCTGAAAAGGTTAATGCAGTAATCGGAATTTTGCATTAGGTGTGCAACGGATAACTCCATCGTCCCAGCGTTTGCCAAGATCTCCGGCAACACCGGCCCGTTGACCTTTTGGACGAAATTCCCGGCGTTCAAGTTCCCCGACCGGCAGCGCTTGTATCTGACGTGTCAGGTGGTCATTTGCGATGGCACCTGTCCGCAGGTACGTGGTATGAATAATTCATGGCCGCGACACACTTATGTAACGCGTTACCTCAATCACACGGCGCATAAATGATTAACCAATGAAGTACAGCTTAGTTAAAGCCTGTTCGCTGGCTAAGTATTTCAGGCAGTATACTGTATAGTCAATGTTGAACTGACACGGTACATTACAACGATACTTCAATGACAGAATTTAAGTGCGCATTCAAATTAAGCGTAACCGGTAAAATTAGGCAAAAAGCAAGAGTGAGAATATTTATTTTGCAATGGTGTTATTCCCGGAGTTGTTATTTGTTATAATTGTAATTTTAAAATTTTTTTAAAAATTCCATTTATTTGAAATCATACGGTTTTTAATTTGTTACACACTGTAGGTCATTTGTTAATAAAGTTTTAGCAGAGGACCGACAGGCTTTCCATTTTCTTCCAGTCCTGCACTAAAGGTTTTTTTTAACAAACATCGAAAATAAATACAAGTTTTTGTATTAATATATCTACTTGTAATTTTTGTGTGCATGACCTTTCGTGCTATTTATTTTTGTGTTTCTGTGCAGCCACGGTGTACGCGGAAACCCCGTCAGGTAGTTGGTCCTAATGACGGCTGGAAACCAGCCAACCAAGTAACCGAACTGGACGTGGCCAACTCCGTCCAAGTCGTCAACTCCGATCTGGAAGGTCAAGTGGCAGCCGATCCGTACGCTCTGGAGGAGAAAGACGAGAACCGCATCTGTTGGCCGTTGAAGAACCTCATGACCGCCATCGGGATCCTGGCGGCCATCTTGTTAATCGCTCTAATCCTCGCTATTTGTTTCTGGTGGAACCGGCGTCAACGTCGTCGCAAACAGATGGACGACTCGTACGGAACACAGACCAACAGTCTGTACAATCCCAGCACGAATTACTACTACATGGACCAGTATGGGGATTCGCAGAACTACTCGGGGAACGGGCAGTCGGTTAATGGGCGCTCGCATGCCGGTAGCCAGCAGCCGCCGCGGACGTACCGCTCGGAAACATCACATTAGCGGGACTGCATTGTTCCTCTGCGCTTGGTACCGGCGGTCGATAATGCCGCTGGTTGTGTGTGCTAAATGACCCATGTTGTTGCCAAATTGCTGCCAAAACTCTGACAGAATGTATGCGCTCTCTGGTGCACCAGGGAAATTTGTTATTAATAAAGAATTAAAACGTTTCTTACTGATACTATATCGTCGCGTACAGCTACTCGCCTAATCGCCTATCAATGAGGTTTACATCTGCGGTTGCCACTTGGCATTAAGGGTTATAAAGAGCTCCAGTGCAAATGAGATGTTTACCAGGGCAGCGTCACCGGCTCCCCTCTCAGAAAAATTTCATTTTTTACAGGATGACAGAGTAACAATAGAGTACGCCCAAAAAAATAGTCAGACATGACCTCCATGGTTACCACCATTACCCATGGTTACCACTTACCAGTAAATGTCGATACAGTTCACGCCATTTAGGTGCAGTAATACTTTTCAGGTGCCCTGAATTATTCGGTTTAGTTACAATGTTAAATTTCAGTTTTCATGAGTCATTGTCAGAACATTTGCAAAGTGCAGTCTGTAAAAGGTCAGTGGCGGCATGTGCAATCTAACGAAAATTTTCCGGAATTTTACCGCTCTTAGCCGTTTAAATTGGACATTACTTTGTGCTGTACCAGGCACACGAAAGTATGCCCATGAAGGCACCGTTGCTAAATGCTAATCGGCTAAGAAGACAAAGATGGGCACTTTCTACTTTATTTTCGGCTTTTACATGGTCAAGACCGTTCACCTACAATTTTTCATGGTCGACTTGCCTCTTATCAGAACTTTGACTAGTTAATTGCTCAGGTAAAAATAGACTTCTGATAATTACAAAGATTTGCATCAAAGGCATCAAGAGAATCAGAGAGTGCCACGCGATCAAGTATACACGCCACCACCGATATAGCCGTCCTTGTTCACGACCGGATTCTGGTCATTGTCGTACCGGCTGTTTCCGGACCATTTCTCCGCAACGGTCGACTTAAAACGATTTCCGGCGTGCCGAACGGATCCAACCATCGCTCCCGTCTTGCCGGTTATGACCACATACGCTACACCTCCTACCACAGCCACACCCAGCAACACACCGATGACAATACCGGCCACTGAACCGCCGGATATCCCGGGTATGGTGGGTGGTTCAGTCACGCCGAATGGTCGACTGGTGGTTAAGCGGCCCATCTCCGAACGCACTTTGTGGATTTCGCAGATCATGCCACGGGAATCATAACTATCACAGGCCAAATTGCTCCAAGTCCCATTGGGAAACATTTCCGCACAGCGTTTGGCTGTGTAGATTAGGCCACTGTTGTTCGTGGGTTTGCCTAGCGTAATGGAAAAATATGAAAATTATACCACACAGCCACAGCTAAGTATTCACTACGTATCCGTTCATCATGACTTATTCCATGCTCATGAACTTTTCTGTCTGATGACTACCTTATGTGTCGTTAGCACATGCATATATTGTACATATACTGGGCTGTTGCATTCGCTACATCATGTATCGTTCTAACTACGATACATCCGCATTAACATGTGTTCATAATAAAGCCTACGATAAGTCCACGTCACACCACTAAGTATCCACTATCCACTACGCATCAAAGTTTATGCGTTTATGTGTATACCGCTCTCCCAGTTAGTGTACGATGAAAATCCGAATCCGGCTCCTTCGTCTTCCCATTTCCAGACATATTGTCCGGATGGATCTAACGCTTCGTACAAACCAATCCACATGCCTTCCGTGGAGTGATGAATATATTTCTCTAGACATTTCTGTTCTTCTTCATTGCGGATTGATGCCAGCCGTCCACCCATCCTTTCGCACTGTTGCTTGGCTCTTTCAAAGGTATCCAGGTGGACGGACTGGTTGTTTTGATGGGATCTAGTCTGAACACGGTAGCACATGGTGCTGCATTCCGTTGGAAAATCGACCGGGCAGTACATGTTGGAGTCGGTAATGTTGAAAGCCGCCGGACATGGTTCTGAAGGAGAGTAATGTATAGATAGTGTACACTGGCACAATACTGTTCCGTGTGACGTATACGCGTACGTACTCAGGGAAGTGACCTGGTACTAGTACCGAATTCGAATAATGTACGAAAACTTTCATTTTCGAGCTATTCCGAGAACGTTTTCGCAGTGTTTTCACTTTTCTGACATTCTGTAGCCAGATGATTTGTGTACGTTGCCAAGAAAACCGTTTGTGTGCGCAGCATCCGATTGTGGAGTTATAGCCTCAGTTAGTGCTGGGAAAAAATTACAAAAAGCTTAAACTAAAACGTTTTACCGAAAGTCTCATTATGAACCGATCTTCTTTAAATTCTGCACATAAATGCACATTGGCTAGTAAACCGTTTTTACATCAAACCTCGGTAGTGTAGTGTTTTTTCGGATTTTAAACTTCACTTTAAATTTCGAAAAAAACGTTGCAGCACTGTTTCGGTGTACAACGGATCTTCATAACAAACGGTTTTCACGCCAGTGCGACATGCTATACGGCAGTCGCACTTCGACTACCGTACTAGATGACCAACCACACAGTCGGTAGAGTGGGAATCTTTATTCTGAAAGGTGACCTGCTCCTACGCTCACAACCAAATATCTGGATGATGTTGTTATCCAGATCCTATGTGACTTCCTGCAGGTACACACTAATGCTTTCGCCACAAGAAGGTCACTCAGGATCTCATAACCGTTAATCATAATCTGAAGACTGCAAACACTGCATACAGACTCTCCAGCCAACACTATCAAATCTGCACGCACTGCATTCAGATCTGCCAAGACCAAGACCTAAACTCAGACTCCTACTAATCGACACCAACAGAATCGTTGATGAAATTATCGATCAAAAGCTTAAGATAAGAACAGGTAAGTAAATCTAAGAACAAGTAAATCGTACGTGAACTACAACGCACGTACAAAGTACAGGCATATTACGCCTACCGCGCTAAGTGTGTATAATCATCTGGCTACAGACTGCGATAAAGCAATGCCGAAAAGTGTTTGGGAGTGCGCGAAGTGGATGTTTTCGTGCATGAACACTAATTTGGTAGCATGTACCGGGTCACTTCCCTTAATTGTTACTCCAGCTAAAATGAAGGACGCACCTGTTCGGTGCTCACAAACAGCATAGTGAGCGCTATCCGTACAGTTCTGAACGATCCATTTGCCGTCGTGGTTCATGGCCACACAGTGGTCCGAATTATTCCCAGGCGGCAGCATCGTCAGAAAGTTGGAGTATACCACTGGACACCCATTGTACCAGGCGAAGTTGTGCACGTGACACTGCATGCCGATCCAAGCGTGACCGCTGTGGTTGTTGGTGCGATAGGCCTGGTGCAGCAGCACACGGAATTGGGCGTTGTCGTATACATCGATTGCCGTCGCCAGCTTGCCATAGCCATCAACGGTGGCGCAAGCGTCCTTGGCGTTTTGCCAGTTGTCCCGTCCAGCTGGCAATGGTATCACTGAGAAGCACGTGCCGTTCTCTCCCAGTTGGGAATAACCGGATCGACAGTTATTCGTTACGGGTTGCGCTGGTGCACTGGGATCTTCAACATACAGTCTTCGTTAGCTACATACTGAGTTTTCGATAACCATGTGCTGTGCTTATCGTTTTGGCCTAAACTAGACAGTACCTTTTTTTGCTTTACAGATGTAATCCCGCGTTTGATCTGCCTTGAGTACCTGCCACTTTCCGGCACGGTTATGATCACCGCGAATTTCAATGGCTCTGTCCTGTTGCAATTAAAATAGTACGAACGCTTATAAGCAATTACGTCGCTGTTTTAATTACGTCAATGAACAAACCTGGATCAGAGTTTCAAAACTCAGCATGACAGGCTTAAAAAAACGCAGCCGTACTACGAAGTATGCGATCACTTGATTCGGCTAGTTCTTTCGTTTACATACTCAGCAATCATACTCGTTTATGTACATAATCAGCTGACACTGTCAGAGAGGTTCTGTTCGCAGATTACGGTAAGTCATTCACGCAGAGTCACACTGTAGGCTGTAACGTACTCAGTATTGTACTAGTACATACTCAGGAATTTCACTTACCCGGGACGTGCTGTATTCATACAAGGGCTCGGAGAAATGCCAGTTATTGTAACGTATCGGGCTTTGATCGGACCACACGAAGGAAAACGAGTATGTATCGACCGGCACCTCATGCAAACCAATCCAGTAACCCCTGTCGTGTTGACCTTTCATCTTTGTCACGATGAAATCGTTCTCAATAGAACTGTGTATCGAAGCCAGATCACTGGATCCCGGGACCAGTTGTACGCAGGCTTGATGAGCTTCTTGCCAGGTTTTATTCTCGTTCTTGGAGAGGTAGTAGCAATTGTCTCCTAAAGTAAAGAAATACGCCCATTAGTATCTTATTGATCGTTACGGCATGGGGTAAACATACTCATTGCTTACCATTCTCTGTCCAACCAGTGCGACAATTTCCACCAACGGGACTTGGCGTTGTAACAGGCCTTATCCGATTCGTCTTGGCACAGATGAAATAGAGATTTCGAGCACAGTTGTGATCGCGCCATTTGCCACTGACGGAGTTCTGGCATACGCATCGTTCCGTGCCGCGGCCGTTAGGCTCATTGGCATCCCACGGTCGGAAGAAGGACGTATATCCATCGACCCATCCATACTCCTTATTCGCGAAATCCGTCATTCTCAAGCCAATCCAATAGTCTTGCCCGTTGCTGAATGTATTGGAAGTGATGGTTTGGGCAATTTTCAGCAGCAGGAACGGATAATTTGTACTGGTCACCGTTATCAAGTTAGTGTTAATGCTTTCGCAAGTAGCTTGTGCGTTGTCCCAGCTATCGGTTCTCAAAGAAATAAAGACACATTCCTCCGACTGCGAATCGAAGTACCAGGCTCCTTCACTAGACGATGTACCACAAGTATCTGAAAAACACGAAAGACAGTAATTCAGCTGCATTGCTTCGAATTTTGTAAGCAGTAAGTGCGTCAAAATCTGAAGTATTGCTGAACTTACGGTTGATAGGAATGCCGGTTGGAAACTCTTCCACTATCTGACCCGGATAGTAGACATCCTTGGGTACTTCACAGAGCCATCCGTTGCCCAGATCACAGCTTTGTGGGACCCATTGTCCACTGGAACGGAATCCCACGCAGTTGGACGTGAAGGGGTTGGTGTGGCTGATTTCCGCATGCCAGTTAGCCGTCGTTAGACCTTTCCCATCGGACCACTCCCAACGGTTCTGAGCGTTGGGATTTTGTCGTAGTCCAATCCAGTTCATGTCACCGTTAACCAGCGCGTACACTGTGCTTTGCTCGGCCTCACTGTTTATCGACGCCAGATGACCCCCTTTGAACTGTCTGCAGAAGTTTTCGGCTTCGTGCCAAGGTAATTTGTGTATCCCGTTATTTCCTTGGTCTCCACGGTAACTCTACAAAAGTGTGATCACGGTTAAGGGTGTTGCTAGCCATAACTGTATGATTTAAACTGCTTTGGAATTTTTGGTGCGGCTTTAAGTGAACTGTACATTTCATGGGTCGTTAAATTTGAGAGTTAACTGGAGAAGCGCGTTTTACTGCCTTTCTTAAGCAGCATTTTAGTAAAAGGAAATGCCGCGACTGATTTGACGCGTTTCCTTTTTACCCAAGAGAAGACCGAGACTTTGGTTCTTTTTTAATGTTTATATTTTAACTATCAAATATTGTACAAGCGCTTGCATTTTCTTAGTTGGTTGGATATTGGCAAAAAGATTTATTTAAAGTGCTAAAATATACTGTACAGTACGTCACCTTAAAGCACGTTCCAATTTCCGGTTTCGTGCTCCATCCCTGAGGACACCCGTTGGGCGACGGCGTAGAAGGGTTGGTCGTTGGGTGAGACGGATGGAAAGTGCTGTCAGCTTTGCAAAGAGCCACCTTCCGCTCGGTACAAGCCGTTACATACCAATCGCCCGGCATAATCGTTCCGTGCTCGGCCATGGAACCGTGCATGGCCACACATCCCTTGAACCCGTCGTTCGTCAAGGCCGGCTGGCCGAACGCCCAGTTCGTCGAGCCAACACTGGACCCGTCCACCCATTTTCTAAACGCGTTCCGCGGTTCACGGTCTTCTCTCAGTCCAATCCAGTACTCCTCCCCGGTGCGAGCGATATGGGCGTTGATAAACTCCCTCTCTTCCGCACCATCGTTCAGGATGACCAGGTCAGCCGTTGCACCAAAGTGTTGACGGCAGAACGCCCGCGCGCTGTCGAAATCCATTAGCGGTTTGGTGCCGATCTGGGAGGTACTGGGATCCTGTCCGAAATAGTAGCAGGACTCGTGGAAGCCGACACCCCAGCGTAGACAGCCCCGTGAGTGGGGGATCTCCACCGTTGCACTACCGGTTACGGGGATCATTTCTTTTTCGCAGACGTAAGGTTTTCTTTCATGGCATGGATATACCGTAACGCCCTAAAACCAAAAGTAGGACGTTAGACACTTCTACACGAAAAATCATGAAGAGCTAAGAAACCTAAGAAAACCAGAAGTAGAATATAAGACACTTTTGCACGAAAACATGAAGAAACCTAAGAAGGTCAAGAAACCTAAGAATGGTACGAAACCCAAGAAACCTAAGAAACCTAGGCTAAAGATGAGCGTTAGGTTTCTTACTCCTGGGCTGATCGCGGCGCAGTTGGTGTCGTTGGCCCACGCTCCAACACCATGACTGTTAGGCGACTGAATATCCCAGTGAAGGTAGGTGACGACTGCACCACTAGACCACGTGAACGCTCGGGGATTACTCGGGGCGGTAATACTGTTTAGGCCGATCCAGCTGCCGATGAAAAATTCTTTGAAATACATGAATTCGCTTTCGTCTCTGAAATCAGTCAAGTATCCTCCTTCGTTTCGGCATGCTTGACTGGCAGTGGCCCAATCGGCCGGAATAACGCTGACCCAAACACATCGGCCGGTAACGGCGTGCCAGTGCGGAGGGCATCCCAGTTGTTGGTCTGTATAAAAATTGTAAGTATTCCTATATCCATCAGAAGTTTTCTAAATCATGCATCATGCAGAGTTTAAACTGAAGGCGTAGTCTAAAGTGCAATCGAAAGGTTTAGCATTCTGCGCAATTTAGAAATAAAAAAAAATTTAATCATGAGAGTACCAACCTGGGGCAAGAGAGGGCAGAGCCGTTGTTGGCGCCGGTGTCACCAGGTCTTCGATGGTCTTCTTGCAGATTGATGCGTGCCATTGTATGCAGTGGGAGGAAACCCACGTACCGGAAGAGATTGATGTAATTCGTGCACACTGGGTGTAGTAAGGGCCGTCTACTTCCGTGTCCGGAGTTGGTTGGCCTGTAAACCAGCATCTCATGTTTCCACCGTATGGGTAAATGTCGCCAGCTCATGCTTACCTTCCGCCCAATTGCTCACCGCAAACGGGAGAAAGTCTTCGTTACCGTTACCATAATCTCGGTATGGTATGTGCCACGCATTGGCTTGTTCGGTGTACAGATTGATCCACACACTGTGTGGTATATGTGAATAGTGTCGTTGAAGATGTGCTGAAAAACACAAGAACTATTCCACCTTCTAAGTTTTTATAAACAACGCTCCGGACATACTTCTGACAAACGATTCTTCTTCTTGGGTAGTAAACCATACGAGATCGGCGTTGTTGCTCATTTTTCGACACGTGGCTTTGGCTGAGCGCCATGTGGACGCCTCGGGCATCACCTGGTAACAGTGCGGTCCATGGCGAAACCATCCCGCTCCACAATAAGGATCGGATGGGTCCTCCGTTACAGGGGCCTCGATAGGGGCTAGAACAATTTAATGTTAAATTATGGGATAAGTACCGGTTACTGCATTAAGTACTGTGCACTGTTATAGATACAGGCGGAAGCCGGTTGTGTAGGTATCTGGTAATTTACTGGGAATTAAAGGGCAGAAATTTGCGATATACGGTAGACAAAACAGTCTTTCCAGCTACATCTGGACTGGCTGTATTGTACATACGGTGGGCCAGTAGCACAAAAACTAGCGGTGGTCCTTAACCAGACCATTACGATTGGATTTGTGGGACTGGAAAATTGCCTCGTTACGCTCTCTGTGGCGTCAGACAAATTTTATGCTCTAAACGAAGGCTTAACTGCAGCATCTCGCTGCACCCGATTCAAAATAATTTTGGATATTGGGTACCCACGATGCTGAACGATCACAAAAATTTAATACAGGCGAGCTTACTTCCTTCATGCCAACACACATAGCCCCGCGTCAGGTTGCAGTTGGTATGATACCACTCCCCTCGATCCGGGATGAGGTAATGTGGTCCATATTGGAATGAGCTTCCGGGGCCCGCTATAGCTACGCAAATTTGGTCGGAACTGCCTTCCACTGTTATATCGAAAATATCCGCGAAGTCTTGGTAAAATCCAGCGCCAGCCTGAAAATAAAAAATATCGTACGCACTCGAGTAGTATGTTGTATCTTGTTCTTGCAGTGATTGCTTCGGCTGTTACTGGAGAAGTTCTATCGAGCTTCCAAGGGAAACGCTACAGCCGAGCTACAGATTTTGGTTGTTTTTTAATGTATAAGTTCAACTGTCACGTAGTGAGGCCGCGCTTGCACTTGTTATTGTTTTGATGGCTGTTGCCGGTTAAAGCATATTATAAAGTGTGTATCGCCAAGGTTGTAGTCTTACAATATCACCGTTGCTGTACGAATACTGGAATCCGGAAGCGAATCCGGTTGTGTCAGGCCCGCTGACTCGCATACCAATCCACGAGTCTTTGGTTACGGTGCCTGGATGAAGGGCAACCGTATAGTAACGAAACACACCATGGATGTTACGCGAACGCAATACCGGAAAGAAAAGCGTTTTCTCCACGGTTGCGAATAATGGCCAATCGGGATTGTTTGCTGATGCAGTCCTGGCTGGCTTCGTCGTATGTTTTCTCATCTGCCACGGCTAGGAAGCATCCTTCATGGAAGAAGACAAATGGTGCCTCGCAGGTGTGTGCACCTGTGCCAAAACGAAAAGTGTATAAAATATTAGCAAAGCCAGAACTAGGTTTTTCTTACTGATGACGACTTCTTCTGGCTGGATATCTGCCGTATAATGCGCTTCGCAAATGAAGCCTTGCGGTTGCGTACACTGCGTGACTTGCCAACTTCCCGTTGCATTGGCTGAAAGGTGATTAAATTCGATTAATATTTATTGAACGCCAGTAACGCTTTAGGCATAATTTGTTTTACACATTGTGAGTGCTGTTGCAGTACTTACTGCTCCGATCAAAGGCAATGTAAGCACACATGTTTGGGTCATTCGCCGGTTGGACCTGACTATACCAATCCGTGTAATTCGTAGCCGATCCATCTGGCCAAATGTAGCCGTTATTGCTGCCTGGAATGTAGCAGTTTTAGCGACGAATACCATTATATCTACTGAGTACATATTTACGGTGCATCGATTACACCGTTCTCAAAAGGACTTAACTTACCTTTCAAGCCAATCCAGTAGTATTCGTGCTGTGTTCCGTCTTCCCAGTCGTGGATGCCGTACTTCCAGATCAAGTCCGCGATGTAAATGTTTTTCGATGCACTGTGCAATGTTCATGTCGACCACACGTTAGATTTACAAGAACGACCTTTTGTCGCTCGTGATGACTCTTTCCACTTACTCTTGAATGGCCACTAACTCGCCTCCTTTCTGCCGACAGGTGGCTTGAGCATTCGTCCAGTTTTTCAGGCTCTCGTCTCCTAAATTGATTTGATAACACATGGCTCCGGATTGATGCCATCCACAGGGGCATTTATCTGCAAACCGGTCACAGGCGTTACACATTGATATTACAAAAAACCGTTGCTTTTCGTTTTGTTCATAAATACTAATTTTCTGTGATATAAATTCTGCTTTCGTTTGTTTACTTAAAGGTGATTCGCACACGTATGGTCTAGGCGAGGTGCAGTCAGTGGTAAAGGCCCATTCCGCTATTGCTTCGATCCAGATAAAGCCAAATGGTCCACCGTAATAGCCAGCCTGTGTGGTGTATTCACCGCAGTAATTCTCCCCGTTTGGTATATCCCTATCACCAACAGTCCAAACTTGTATTTTATACAGGTTTAATCTCATTATTTAGCATACAGTATGCCTTAAACCTAAATGTTTACTGTAGTTATACTCACAATTTTGGAAAGGCAGTTTAATTAGTCCAAAAAACTTCGATACGAAAAAGTTATATACATAATATGTACCTAACGTAGGAGTCAGGGTGACTTCGCCAAAGATCTGCTGATGTGTTTTTCATTGGAGTGCCATCCATCCAATGAAGATTATCGGCTGTCACTAAGTCGGTTTTATTCCAGATCTTAATTCCCAGCCACGTTTGCTTGACTTTGAAGTAGGCACGAAACCAGTACGCCAATCGACTGTTTATTGCTGCTGTTCGTGGAACGGGAAGATATCCTCCGTCGGCGCTGTTTATCAGGGCATAATCAATTTTTTTCTTATAAGTTTCACGTAATCAAGCGAACATACAGACACTGTGCTTCTGCTTCGACGAATCCTGAAGGCTCGTACACTGGGCGGAAACAGCGACCATCATGATAAACGTAGCCTTCTTCCGTTTTGCACCATGGACGGCCGCCTACAAAAATACTCAAATCATGTGAACCGTTTTTGTAATAAATGTGGTCTGTCGATAAAATTGTATTTTTTGGCCGGTTTTTTGTTTTTTGTTCGCTGTGCCACGTACTCCAGTCTCCTTTGCAAACGAATCCATTAGATTCTTGCCTGCTATCAGCTTTGAAGATAAATCCCTGGAATGTTCTGTTGGCAATGTAATTTAAAATTCCACGTTGTAATTCCGGCCTGTTTGTTGGAGGTTGAACGTTTCTGTATTACAAAATTAAGAATACATATATACTCGTACCGTAATTACACCTACAAGCAACGCCTAAGTTGACAAAATATGAAATTGTCATACAAGCCTGGAATTGCAGTATATGGTTTGAAAGTGTCGCCGTCGGTCCACTCCCATTGATTATTCTCATAGGTCAACCCAATCCAAAACTCACTATATGCTAACAAATTGAGCAAGGGTAGTTTAAAGTGGTTTTTGCATATAAATTTTAAGGGTTTGGTATCCAGTTTTATGAAGAATATGATTCAGTTTGAAAGAAAGGAATCTTTCAAGCAGTAGGTTAACATTATTACGAGCTTGGTTTAGATACGTTGTGAACAAGCGGTTCAGAGTTCAGCTTACATCCTGAAATTTTGGCAGTGAGCCAACTCTGAAAACAAAAATTTACTTCAGTGGCAAATGCTTTAGCATCATATAGCAGTTCTTAGTTGGAGAAGACGCAAAATCTAGGTGTGCATGCTAGTGACCTATTTGTATAATGAAATTGGAATATCAAACAAAACGCTTTCCAATCGTCGATACTAAAATAAATTCTTCTGTTTAATAATGTCTCTAATGCTACGAAAAATAGTTCATTACCATTATTTAGTAGCACGGAACAAGTAGAAACTTAGTATTAGAAAGTAACACTTAAAATAAGCGAAAAACCGTTAGGTAACAACCTTACCAGCTCTTCAGAATCTTCCAAAACTAGTATTTTTCCTCCTAAAGCTCTGCAGGCTTCAATGGAATAGTTAAAAGTGTTGCTGCCAGATAATCCTCCATGAAAACCATCCGGATCGTTGTTGTTGGATTTTCCCATAACATAATAGCACTTATCGGTGCCCTTTCGGTAATACCAATCATGGCCAGGGCAACGAAAACCCGAAACAAAAAAATAACCTAAAGGGCAAAAATATGTAAAAAATTAAATTAATAAGCTGACATCATAAGAAACATTTTTTGCATATTAAAAAAAGATGATAATATTTAAAATTCAGCAAAGTGAACGTGTTAACCTGATCCCAGCCATGCCAGTGCAAACAGCATTACTATAAGCGACGCCATGACCGCTAAGGGATTACGCAATCATATGCATGATGACAGAATAGAAATGTAATGTGAATACGTAGAAGCCTAAAATCTAACACCAAGTCCGAAAATTTCGCCTGACATTTTTAATGGTAGAATGTGAGAAATCCTCTTTTTCCTGTTTTATCTTTACTTTCGATATCGTAGGTAAACACTATGCATTCTATATCGCCAGTTTTGACTTTAATTGCCTTTCTTCTGTAAATTTCTTGCTCATCTCATTGTACTGCTGGAAATTTACGATGTATTTCGATTAATATTATATCTGTACAAGCAGTAAGTCAGTTACTGAACACGCGTAGACATAATTATACGAACCACCTTAATTTATTGGTGTTATGTGACAAATAATACAAAAGCTAACTGAAGTTTGTGTAAGTCTAACGATAGTAGTGCTATAGCATAGCCACGAGTACCATGCACGATAAAATGTGCCATTAGAGTCATAATACGTTGAAGTCAGTGATAAGGTTCAACGGCTGCCAAACACTGCCTAGCACGTTCACCGGGTCCAGCGGATGCTGCGCTTTCTTTTCTTATCACGCATAACTGCGGTAACAGTGGAAACTGTAAAGTGCCAGGGAACCAAGCAGTATGCACCATGTGTACAATAAAATTCTGCCGTGCATACTTTTTTAGCGCAGTAACAGGAGGTACATAGATGAAGAAGATGTACCACAAATCCGCGACATTGCTTTCCACTTCAGTGTATGGCATTCGGTATAAATCAAACGCACTAAAAGTTGAACAGTTTTGTACAATTTTTAAAACTGCATGTACCGGGTCTTTCCTTGGAAAAGGCAATGGCATCAAAATTCAGAGCAGCGGAATTTTCCGGCTTTGCGACTCCCGCAGTAAATGCCTTAAAGATTTTAACTGTAATTTTACACATGTAATTGAACAGGACAGCGGCACGGGACACCCGATCAGATTTACGGAGGCAGGAAGATAAACAGGAAATGAAATGACGTTGTTTTTACATTCGTACAGCATAGCAGCCGTGACACACTATAGCGGTTATAACACGTAACTTGTCAAATCTAATTACTTAGCGTTTGCTCGCGGTCGCGGATATCTGCCAGGCAAAATGTGCGGCACTTGTATATTCCAATAAACGTCGCTTTTATTTCAGGGTGACGAAAAGGGATCTCAGTAATCTAATTATCACGGTGCAGTTATCGGATCGTTAAGTACAGGAACGCCGGTCGTAGTGCGCCATAACAACAGAATTTGCCGCAGCGCGTTGAGTAAGGTGTCGAGAGCAAGAAGGTCATTTGATGTTTAATAATAAGACACTCTTTTCGAGAAATGCCGGAAATCCGCGCCAGCACGTTATGACGCTATAAAATACACTACAAGCACTACACAGGTATAACGCATCGAATCCGCTGGTTTTGCTGTATTATTCATCAAAAGCGCTTTAGCACGATGACAGCCAACGCTTCTGTTCAATTTCGTGCACAACGCATCTAATTCAACCTGGACGGAACACCACGTCGAGAATGGTACGACGCACAGTTACTCCCTGGCCGCACTGCTCAGCACAACCGTGCCGGCACTCGTTCTCAACATTGCACTCATCTTGGTTTTCTTGCGAAATCACCAGCACCGCGCCCCGTTCGACGTGTACGTCGTGGTGCTACTCGGCAGCAACGCTCTCTTCACCTTCGTGGAGGGCTCCATCAAAGCGTTAATTCATCCGTATCTGCACTGGCCACTCAGCGCCGCCGTCTGCACACTGCACATCTACAGCATGTATATCGTAGCGGCTGTGCAAATTCACCTGCACCTCCTAATCACCATCAACCGTGATTGGGCGTTGTTCTGGCCTGTTTCATTCCGCCGGCATCACACCTTCACTACGGCTTGGTGTCTTTGCGGGACGTTTATTCTCTACGTGCATATTATCCTTCTCCCGGGGACCATCCAGGATGCCGTGTATTACCGCCTGCCGGTGCAGTTTGGCTGCTGGGTGAACGACGCCGCGCAACCGGTGTGGTTCATTGCCGAATCCGTTCTACTGTTCAACATTCCCATCTTCTTCATTCCTGTTTTCTGTCCAGTGTTACTGTGCAGAGCGCTACAGAAAAACGTCGTTTCGTCGGTGGCACCCTTTGGCAGTGCACCGCCACCGGAGTCGGCTCACAATTCACAACGCCGCGGTGCTCTGCGACCGTTCTTGGCCATGACCTTATTTACGGTGTCGGTGTGCTGGGTGCCCAGTACGATTTATTACACGTTGATTGATTTTTTCCCGTCAGAAAAGTTGGAGACGTTTCGCAGCGTCCAATCGGCGCTGTATTCCCTGCAGTCCGTCATCGATCCGTTAGTGGTTTGTCTCAGCTTTCGACAGCTTGACAGCAAACTCGTTGCACTGTATACGAAATGGAGAAAACGCTAAATACCTCTGTCAATGTGCCAGCACAGAAACTGATGACGTAAAGCTCTTAGGTTGCATAGCGTTCATTCCCTGGCACTTTTGCTAATCTCTTTTATGTCTTTGCGGTACCGAGTTATGCCAGTGATCGGGAGCGTTGCCGGGCGGTAGTGGTGGCAAAATAATAATGGCAAAATAATTGAAGTTTTTCTTACTTAAGGGTACTGCCCCAATACAGAGTGTTGTGCACGCAGTCTACAAGCTGTACAAGTACAGTGTACACTGCATGCACCTGTGATTCACACTCACAGGCAGTGAAACAGGCATGCTGCATTACTGCAAAGCGGAATTCCGAACGGTTACGTGCTCAGACGGTAATTAGAAAAGATGTAAATGTACACATAATTATTATGCAATGCTGAAGTGTATGCACGTAGAACTTCACGGGACTATAATTCAAGGAGCAAACTATTGAAAACAGCTGAGAGTTTTTTATCATTTCCACGCTGGTGGTATTGGTTGGTTCTTGCTGCACCGATCGGCTTTATGACAATATTATAATTCCAATAATAAGCAATTCCAGTTGAGATGCTTTAAGAGCATAATACCAATGCATATATTGCACAACTCCGCCTGGTTCACACTATTGGCTGCCTTAAGCGTAATTCAACGTCACATAGTTTAATAGTTTCATCTCGGTAGCAGGTAACCCATTAACCTGCTGTGTTTTGCATACACAGCATGGGAATTTAAACCTGGCCGAACACAACACACGCTCATTATCAAACTCCGCTACAGAAGGCATATGATACAACACAGCTCAGAATTGCAAGCATTATTAGACCCATGCACTGGCACACTAGACAATGGCTAATAAGCATTGACATAAACGTGTATAAAGCACGCAGACTAAACGCTATAGACAACAAGATCCGTATCGTTCGGCCGTATCCGTAGTTGAATGAGGAATGGAGCGCGGGTGCTTTATCCTGATGCGACGAGCGAGTTGAACCATGGAGGATCCGTTTAAGCCCAGGCGTCGAAGAAACGCACACGCCACTCAGTACGGTCAGCGCTGATGCCGACTAACCACGTCGCACACAGCCTTGCGGGCCATGCACTCGCAGCCTGAACTCAGAGTGGTCACCCATCCAAATCCAAACCGCGCTCGATGTAGACTATCTTTCAAAATCCGAAGATCCATCCATTTAGCTACACGGAGTGAGTGATCATTATCGAACAATAATGACGAAATCTAAGATGATGTTCCAACTAATTTGGTGCCCACTCAAACAAAGCAATATTGCGACTGCCACAGCTAACCGACGACAATACGCAGCTGCTCGTCTGGAACACACGATAAGAACCTTGCGGAAACACAGCATCGCAAGTAGAACAGAGTCAATATTTACAGGCAACTGAATTTATGTACAAAAACATGCTTCTTGGAAAGGTAGGCGGCAAAAAAGTAACTTAAAAAGGCAGCAGTAACACCAACATTGTTAGCCACCAAGAGCTGGTAGCGTGTTACAGGCCCAACAGTGCTGCTACGCCTGTCACGCTAGAGTACTTGATTAAATTGGCTACCTAATTGTCATTAGACAGGTTTACGGAAACCCACATCTAAACAGGAAATGAAAACACATGTGGCTTCCGCGTATCTTGCGCATAACAGTCGTGCTGGAATTCGTTTGCGAAAATTCTATTTCCTGCAAGTGTGTTCGCAGTAGTACACAAAACACTTACCGGGCACGTGAAACCTTATACAATATTGCCGTGTGCGTCGCTCTCTCTTCAAGTCGCCCAACCACAGGTAAAAATAATTTCCTTCAACCAGAATAAGGAACCTAGGGATATATGCAATTTTCACGGTCGTGAGCAGCAGTAATTGGAATGATGTAATCGGCCGTTAATTGTCGGGAACGCAGCAGACAGGAACAGATCGCAGTTAATAAAGTGCAATGCTCCCGACCAGCTACTGTGACGAATTTATCTTACACACACACATCAGTTTCTTTTGCATACTACTTCAGTTCTTCGTATAAAAGATCTACCGACACCATGCAAACAGCGAATTCGTTGATTTCTTTCGTTGAATTCGTTGATTATATCTTTCTCCTAGCTTGTCTTCAAAACGATGGCACACAATTTTTCTCTTCATTTTGCAAATAAATCGATTAACTCAACCGGGATTCAACCCCACACCGGCAATATTACGAGTCACAATCATTCCGTGACCGCACTGCTCAGCACAACCGTGCCGGCATTCGTTCTCAACATCGCGCTCATCTTGGTTTTCTTGCGAAATCACCAGCACCGCGCCCCGTTCGATGTGTACGTGATGGTGCTACTCGGCAGCAACGCTCTCTTCTCCGTTGTGGAAGGATCCATTAGAGCTTTGATTCTTCCGCATCCGCACTGGCCACTCAGCGCGGCCGCCTGCACACTGCACACCTACTTCATGTACGTCATAGCGGCAACGCAAATCCATCTGCATCTCTTAATAAATGTGAATCGCGGATGGGCGCTCTTCTGGCCGGTGGCGTTCCGCCGCTATCACACCTTCACTATTGCCTGGTGTCTATGCGGGGGAATAATCCTGTACGTGCACATCGTCCTGCTCCCGGGAATTATCCGCGATGCGGCGTCTTTCCGGCTCCCGCTGGAGATGGGCTGCTGGGTGA